CGCAGATCCCCCATCTTCAGAATGAGCTGCCGAGCTGGAGCCATGGCGGGAGGGGGGCCTTTGGGTTTGCTTCCCGGTGAGACAGGACTCTCTGTTTTTCCTTTGTTCCCAGGTTCATCCGGAATTGTATGTTGACAAATCAAGAGGAGATAAACTGAAGATCAATCTAGATGTTACTTTTCCACACATGCCTTGTGCTTGTGAGTCGGACTTGTGACTGTTGGGGCTGATTTTCACCCTTGCCGCAGGCCCAAGAGGCTCCATGTCCCTGGTGCTTCCCAGTGCTGCGCTGCTGCATGGGCCCCGGACAGGGAGGAATTGGTTATCCTGTGTAGTTATGCCGTGATTCCAGCCAGGCCCGCCGAGCGCTTAAACCAGCGCTTCCAGGGAGACAGTATTATTTTTCTAGATTATAAATGACAATAAGGTGTATAAACCCACTTATGCTTCTGTGGGTTGTTGTACTTTGTCGGAGGGTGCAGTAATACTGAAAACGCTGGCACAGAGCTCACTTGGAGCTCAAGATTTGACTGTATTGTTATTGAAAAGCTTTAGAGGTTCCTTTGGAAGTTACCTGATGAGGCACAGCTTTTCTGTGATTTTGGTACTTAAATTCTGGCTGTAACACCAGTGCTATGTGGTAGCCTTTCTTCACAATTTTTAAAATCAGAATGAGCATTAATAATCTGATTACCTTTTAACTAAATTCAACACAAAGTTGCAGGATAAAGTGGCTGAAAATAGCTCAGCTCTCCCTGGGTGTTTCTGCTGTGTGAGTTATCCAACCGTCCAATGATCTTCCCCACCTCTTGTTCTGTTGTTGTAATCCCTTTGGGTCACACACGGGGCTCTGAATGCAGTGAGCCCGAGTTCCTTCTGAGCATCCAAGGTGTCACTGGTCTGTGCCTTCCTGGCATCGCAAAGGGCTTGGGGAGGCCAGAGGGACTGGAAGCCTCTGCTGTTTTGTGCTGAGAAGGTGTCTGTCTTATCAGAGAGCGTGTAGGCAGTGAGTGCATCATGGTGTTTCAACAGCAGGCTGAGACCACAGACCTTCTTAGTCTTCTTTGTGAAAAGGGATCACAAGGAAACATGCTGAGGATGAAGGGGAAGGGTGAGGGGATAGAGGTAGGAGGCAGCTTTCAGCTGATTATAAGCTTAACTCCTGAAAATGGTTATGGGTTTTGGGGTTTTGCCTAAAGTGTATTTACCTTTCAGGATAACGCTTTGTGTGGCAGCTGGAAACAGTCCTTCTTTTACACCAAACCCAACCCCATATTTGGAAGGGTCATTTAGGGTGCTGCAATGTGCCTTTTATTCCCTGTGTGTCACTTGGCCCCAAATGTACACACTCTTGAAGTTTGGGACATTCTTATCCCCCTGGCTGAAAGATTCTGTATTTTCACTAGTTGAATGCTTCTAGCCTGCCACAGGCCATATCAAATCTGTGTTTATAGACCGATCCTTGCTCGCTGCTTTCAGATTTGAGCATTGATGCCATGGACGTAGCAGGAGAGCAGCAGCTGGATGTAGAGCACAATCTGTTTAAGCAGCGTTTGGATAAAGCTGGCAATCGTGTGACTCCAGAGGCCGAGAGACACGGTAAGATGCTCTTCTGGCTTTCTTGGGTGGATGCTCTTGTAGTTTTTTTGTCACTGTATGCCCGTTTTGAGATTCATGGGAGCAAGAGACAGCTGAAGAGCATTTGAATACCGTAAACTCTTGAAAAGTTTATAGCACACAAATCTATTAAACTGGCACATCAGACACACTGCTTTTATAATCGCTACTTTTGTGAGACCGATCTTTGCCCAGTCCCTCTGAAATGCTGACAAGGACTCACGGATGCATTTCAGGAATAAAGCTGCAGAGTTAATGCTCTGTTATGACCAGAAATCAAGCAGCTGTTCTGGCAAAACTTGGCTTTGGTTGTATCTTTAAATCACAGTAGACTGACAAATGGGATGAGCTGGTCAGAGGAAGGAGCCTCTCTCCAAGAAGTGTTCCAGTGGCTCAACTCTTAAGCCTAAACTTGCCCCTTACTGCACGTACTTTGTGTGTGTTAATGCATACCTGATAAATGTATTTTAGTTGATTTATCTGTTACAAGTTGTAGTAAATGGTCCTTGACTACATAAACCTCTCCTCTGCAATTTTTAAATGTTCTGACTCGTTGTACTTTGATAAAAAACAGAAAGGATTCTGGCAAAGTGTTGCAGTCTACCAGGAGTACTGTACTGACTTTTCCTTTCCAAAACATAAGCTCCTTATTACCTTTTTCTGGGCAATAGTATAGTTCTAAGTATTAGCATGAACTAATTTTATTGATTTGTATCACTCAGATTTAACTTTCCTGTTCTTGAAGTTGAAAGGCTAAACTAAGCATTCTTACTTCTTTGTTGCTTAGCAGCCTTTCTGTATTCAGAGGTTGTGGCATTACAAATTTAATGTCTAGGGACAAAACCAGCTTTTTTGCATCTAATTCTCTGTTAACACACGTAGGCCTACTTGTATTGCCAGTCTCTATCAGGATTACTCCATCTGAACCAGTTGCTCTGACTCCTTATATAATCAATGGAGAGGAAGAGAAACTTGTAGGGATCAAACTGTCTCACCTACAAGAGGTATTTTAAGAGATCAGATGCATTGCATGCAGCAAACAATTTCTTCTGCTTGTCTGGAAAAAACACACAGCTAGTTTGGTTTCCATCACCCGTCTTGCAAGTTAGATCAGAAGTGTCCACCCACCTTCATTAAATTCTGATTATCAGTTACTATTAGTAACACTGATGTTCAGTCCATTATTTAAATGGCAACTATAGCAATATTGACTTTAAATCAGGGCCCCATCCCTGGAGGTGTTCAAGGCCAGGTTGGACGGGGCTTTGAGCAACCTGGTCTGGTGGGAGGTGTCCCTGCCCAGGGCAGGGGGCTGGGAACTAAATGGTCTTTAAGGTCCCTTCCGACCTAACCATTCTATGAAATTTATTAAAGTATACACAGATTCTATGGAGTAGTATCTGGAAGCTTTTCCCAATCATAAAAAGCTGTTACTGGTTGCTGTGTCTTGAAGGACTCTGTTGTACAGGTGTTCTTGTTCAATTGGTAGGAATCATGGCTTTGACAAAACATAGCAATTATTAATTTGTATTCTTCCTGACACTATCTTTTAGTGTAACTACAAGTTTAAAAACCATACCACTTTTTAAACAATGAATTCTTAAGTACACTTTCAACTACTTTGAATGTTGTAAGCTTTAGAAAGAAAGTCTTGCACAGTTGTTTAATAATGGGTATGTTTTCCTAAAAGTTTTTATTTGATTGTTCATAACTACCATATAGTATTTGATTAAAGAAATAAAGTTCATGATTGATTTTTGGGCATATTTCATACTTTCTAATTAAAATCTATGTTTTCTGTGGCTAATACTAAATACAGACATCTTTAATACTCAGTTCCATCTACCTGTTATACCTCCCAACCTCAACAAACAAGGTCTTGATAACGTTTTATCCCCTCAGCAATGTCTGACTATGTACCTTATCACCTTCCCCAGCGTCAGTTATCCAAGGAGCCATTTTCTAGTGAGCAGTGGTTAACGTGTGTGCCTTGTCAGCATTGTCATCCTGGAGGACTGAGTGTCAATTTTCCACTCATAAGAATCCCACTCTGATCTTGTTTCACTGCAATATATAATTGTGTTCTCTGCACAGCTGGAACAGGATTATGTGTTATGCACTGTTGACTGTGGTTGATTGCTATTTAAAATTTTGTTTGTGTAATAGGTCCTGTATCAGATGCAATGTACTGATTGTGTCTATTTTAGACAATGTTTTAACAAAGCCTTTATGGAAGTAGCATCTGATCAGTGCTACAGCAAGGCTTACAGATAGCCAGTTCTTTCTATAGAGGGCGTTCTTGAAATGACAAATGCTATTCTGCTTCTTGATGTCACTTCGCACCTCAGCAGGCTCTATGCGTACCATTTCCAGTGGGCTTTGTGTGCAGGATGTGCAGCTTCCGACACAAAATCATTGTGTTCATGTGTAGAACAAAAGAGGAGTAGCATTTCTAGAGGAGATAGCATTTCTAGACATGCCTCATCACTTTGAATCTTCTTTGTCTCAGAGCTGGGGAAAGAAGAAGAAAAAGCGTTTGATCCAAATTCTTTGGATGCCGATCGCTGCGAGAGCTGTTACGGGGCAGAGTCAGAGGACATTCGGTAACCTTTACACCTTTTTATATCTTCTTAGCACTCAAATTAATACAGTTGTGTTGCACTTTTTTTTTCAAAGTGTCTATGGAGGTCTGTGCAATGAAATCCTCCTGGACACGTTCAGAGAATGCTGAGAACTGGAGTGGTTTTGGTACGCCTTTAGAAGCTGCGCTCATGATTTTTAAGAACGTGCAGAGTTGGGTTGTCTACATTGTCTACACACCTGTGTAAGGGCAGCACAAATTGCAGTAGCACAAAGATTGTATCTCAGCAAACGGAATGTTTTCTGGGTTTATTTGATATCCAGAAGAGTGCTGTGTAAATTATTTCACCATTATGTGAGCTGTCTTGGAATAAAATCTGGTTATGGCTTTGCCTTTCTCACTTCTGCTGCAGACTTTGCATCCTTACAGAAGTGAAGACCAGACATTTATCGCTTAGACAAACAACAGTTGTCATTTGGTGTTTCTCATTTCTTCTACTTGCAAATTCCTGTAAGAATGGATCCATGATAGTCCATAGGTTCTGAACTATCCTTCGCTATTACTGTCTCTGTAGTAATTTGTTTTTTCCCATCTGTCAAGTTGCGTCCTTCCCCAGAGATGTTTCCATCTTGAGGGATTCATGATTCCAGCCTTCAACTTTTTCTTTGGTCCAGCAAAACATGGAACCAAGAAAGAAAACTGTTTTTTTCCAGTGACCAACATGTTATCCAGAGGTAGAAAAGTAATGAAGCAAGTTTGCTATTAACCCTCTATCCCATTTTGACAGTCTTGGCCTAAAAAGAGAGAAAAGGAGGAATAGAAACAGGCAGATGCTTTGTTCACCAGGCAAGTTCCAAACTGCTCAGAACAGTGGGACAGTGATGTCATTTTTGTAGCAAATCACTTTGCCAAGGAGTGACTTGGCTGTCTAAATACACAGGCAAAGCCCTCTTCAGACAGCTTGCATTCTCATGCCAAAATCTCAAAAAGTACGTCAAGAAGCTCAAGCTCCTTCAGGAGCATTAGGCCAGCTTCCAAGGTCCAGTCCCTGATGTTTGCTTTATTGCTTTATTGAAGAAAAATCCACCAGGGACTCAAGTCCTGAGCTGGAACATCTCTTTCTAGCAGTGAGGATGGTAAGGTGGTGCTTGTGCTTTTGCAGGTGTTGTAATACTTGTGACGATGTCAGAGAAGCATACAGGCGGCGCGGCTGGGCCTTTAAGAACCCAGATACCATAGAGCAGTGCAAGAGGGAAGGGTTTAGCCAGAAAATGCAAGAACAGAAGAACGAGGGCTGCCAAGTGTATGGTTTCCTAGAGGTCAACAAGGTAAGAGTTGGATTTTGCTGTGAACCTGCTGCATGATGGTGATGACTGCGAAAAGGTAGAGTCGGCGTGTTTCTCTCGCTTTCCAGCTTTAGATGTTCGCAGGACGATAACATAATAACTCTGGGCTCAGCAAGGTACTTGTGCCATAAAGGGGTTTGGTAGGAGACTTGGGAAGAGTGATGGGAAGGGGCTAATTCTGTATTGCGTTGTGTGGGCTAGTAGGAAACATGCTGGCTGGAGAAGCTTAGCTTTTCCTGCCATCTTAGCTAGTGAGTCTTTTTGCTGAGGTTGCTGGAGGAGGAGAGGCAGCTTCTTTGAGGTTAGATTGTCCCATCTGCCCTTCTAGTCTTAAAGTAGAGACTACCAGAAGGTGCTGGAGATAATGATAATGAACAACTTCCCAGCAGAGGTGTGGGAGAGAGTGAAATGTTATCTTCTTCAGAAAAACAGTGGAAGCAAGATGATTGGAGTTGGTTGTCAAAGCTGAAAATGCGTAGAGAGGTGTTTTTTCCAGGTAGTGTAAGAAAATGCAGTACGAGTTATATCAGATAACTAGGAAATGACCCTGTCATTTGGCAGGTTACCAAACCCAGAACGCTTGGACATGCAGGTTATGTACCCAAGTACATTCTAGAGGTCAGGCCCAGGCTAATTTTTTTTTTTTTTTTAATTCAAACTCTATGGGTTTTTTACACCTTTGTGTACTGTTCCTGGAGACCACAGTCTTTATTTCTAGAAAGGAAACCTTTTACTCACAAAGCCAGATATTGTGATTTGAGCATCTTCATGGGTGCAAAACTGTTACGGGACCCCCCGTCACAAAGTGTGATGAACAGGAAAGGCTCAAAGGGGAACGCTAGAGGTAGCCAGGGTCCAAGGGTGGGGGACACTGAGGAAATTTCTGGGGGCTGTTGTTATACACTTGGAATTTGGCACATTGCCATTCTTATCAGGTCTGCAGTTAACATAAGCAGTAGGTTCGCACAGACATCAAAGTTGTAATTAGCCCATGAGCTTGGGACATACAAGTCTTCTAGGGGAGAGTGTGTGTGATTGCTAGTAAGTGTCAGGGAGGACTGGCACTGCATATCCAGATCCCTTTCAGATTCCAGGATGAAATTTTAACTACCTTTGTCTTTTGGGGTTTTTGGGGGGTTTGGTTTTGGGGTTTTTTGTAGGCTTAGGGCTTTATTTTTGCATGCAGCTTATATTCATAGATGCATACCTAGGATCACTGTTGTTTATTGTATTAAGGTTTTTTTTACCCTGCTCACTCTCCCTCTCAGTTTCTTTATCCACTCATTTTCTGTGATACCTTTTTGTATTTCCTACAGCAGCAGTCAGTTCCCTCCCAGTAGCTTAATTCTTTCTTCTTCCCATTTTTATGTCCACTAAAATAATCTGCATAGAACAGTTATTATCAAAATCAGTATGTAATTATGGCTTTCCACATGACTGCCAGTGAGGAAGAGGGGAAATTCGTATCTCTGTTAGGACAGTATCTGTGGATATTGTCACCTATGAAAATGAGTTGCTTGGTCTATATCTTGTTTAAACAATTTAAAGATCCAACACCACTACAACTGCTTTATTTATATAGAGTCAGACCTTTTAATAAAAGATTACTGTCTCCTGCAGGTAGCTGGAAATTTCCACTTTGCACCAGGAAAAAGTTTCCAACAGTCTCACGTACATGGTAAAGTATTTTCTTTTTGAAGGAAAATTGTTACTTTTAGCTTCCAAGTGTATCTGACCGTTTTCTTTGAATGTCTTTGCGCTGCTATCTGTAATAACAAAAGCACTGCTTCAGTGGGGAGGATGTTGTTGAAGTTTTATTACAGAGGTTTAGAACCATCATGAACAAATAGAAAAGTGTTTTCTGAAGGTGCTGACACATGAGTTTGGAAGAACTTGGAGGAGAATTTCTGGGCAGTCTCTCAGTCTCACTTGTTCCACAAAACTTTGCTGCTCTGCTGTAAAACAACCTCAAGTAAGGTGTTCAGTTCAGGACCTGAATATCATAATCTCTGGAAGGGATATTTTGGAGAATACCTCACAAGAACTTTAAAGCAATTCAGAACTTTTAGAGTAAAATTTAAGTTGTAAAGTACTGCCTCAAGTATATATATACACAGTGGCCAGAATGATAGTGGTAGTTTGTAGAATCATAGAATGGTTTGGGTTGGAAGGGACCGTAAAGATCTACTATATCAGGTTGCTCAGATCCCCATCCAAGAGGGCTTTGAGCACTTCCAGGGAGGGTGCTGGAGCTAAATACTCCTTTCTCATTTGTCCTGGCCATTAGAGGCTGTCCCAGGGGATCTTATGGATTTGGCTTAAAGTTCATCTTCAACATACATGTACTGGTGTTTGGCACAGGTTTGGCACAGAAACCTTGCTATTTCTCTTCTGGCTTCCCTAGCCACATCCAGTTTTTGCTGCTTATGCTACAAGCCCTGTTAAAATGTCTGTCCCCATCTTTCTTATAAGTGATTTTTAAATACTGAAAGACTGCTATAAGGTCTCCCTGGAGCCTTCTCTTCTTCAGGCTGAACAACCCCAACTCTGTCAGCCTGTCCTCATAGGAGAAGTGTTCCATCCCTCTGATAATTTTTGTTCCCTCTTCTGGATCTGCTTCAACAGGTCCATACCTTTCCTGTGCTGAGGGCTCCAGAGTTGGATGCAGTACTCCAGGTGGGGGTCTCACCAGAGCAGAGTAGAGGGTCAGAATCCCCTCCCTCACCCTGCTGGCCATGCTGCTGGGGATGCAGCCCAGGATGCGGTTGGCTATCTGGGCTGTGAGTGCATGTTGCTAGCATGTGTCCAGCTTTTCATCCACCAGTACCTCCACGTCCTTATCCTCAGGGTTGCTCTAAATCCCTTCATCCCCCAGCCTGCATTGATACTGGCGGTTACCCCAACCCAGGTGCAGGACCTTGCACATGGCCTTGTTGAACCTCATGAGGTTTATGTGGGCCCACTTCTCAAGCTTGTCCAGGTCCCTCTGGATGGCATCACGCCCTCAAGCGTGTCAGCTGCACCACTGAGCTTGGTGTCATCTGCAAACTTGCTAAGGGTGCACTTCATCCCACTGTCAATGTCATTGATGAAGATATTAAACAGTACTGGTCCTAGTACAAACCCCTGAGGGACACCACTCGTCACTGGTCTCCATCCAGTCATTGAGCCATTGACCACTGCCCTCTGGATGTGACTGACCCACCAATTCCTCATCCACCAAACAGCCCACCCATCAAATCCACGTCTCTCCAATTTAGAGAGAAGGATGTTGTGGGCAACCATGTCAAAGGTCTTACAGAAGTCCAGATAGATGACATCAGTGGTTCTTACCTTGTCTACTGATGTAGTCACTCCATCATAGAAGGCCACTAGGTCGATCAGGCAAGATTTGCCCTTGGTGAAGCTTTGCTGTCTGTCTTGAATCATCTCCCTGTCGTCCATGTGCCTTAGCATAGCTTCTAGGAGGATCTGTTCCATGATCTTCCCAGGCACAGCAGTAAGGCAACTACATCAGCAAGTTCCCTCAGGACTCTGGGGTGCATCTCATCAGGTTCCAAAGACTTAGGTATGTTCAGGTTCCTCAGGTGGTCTCGAACCTGATCTTCTTTTGCAGTGGGAGGGACTGAGGGAGCAAAGTCCCTCCCTTATACCTTTAACAGGAACTTGATTAAAAATGTGTGGTTTACTGGAATGTTTGCAGTTCTCTCAATCAAGTTTTTGAAGTGTGCAATCTGTAGTAAAGGTTTCACAAAGAGCTATAATTTCAGCCTGATTTTTCCCCTTCATATCACTCACTCCGGTTTAACCTGTACCACTGAGGTAAAGGTCAGGGGAGAATGTGAATGTGCTTTGTGAGAGTAACTGGTGTATTTGGAGAAAAACAAGCTTTTTGAGCACAGCTTCTACAGAAGAAGAAGCACTCGTGCAAAATTAAAAAAAAAAAAACAAACCCTGTTTTTCCCCACAGTATTAATTCTTGTTGATAATACGATGTTTCACTTCTTTCTGCAGAACTTGCTTTGTGTGCTTAAACTAGCATAACAACAGCAACCTTACTACAGCCAGTATTTACAACTTTACAGCGTGTATCTAAGTTAACAAGAAGAATCTATGCATTGCATCTGTTCTCTGTAATAGGCATGAATGCAAGCTGGCTGTCCTGAGAGCAAGTACTTTGTGTACATCAAGGAGGGGGTGAGATCAGGATAGCTCTCTGTGTGTTGTGCCCCAGAAGTCTTGCACAACTGAAGTGAAAATTCAGTAGGAAAATACAGGTGAAAACCAGAAAGGACTATGTCGTTATTGCAAACCTTTTGGAGGCAGAGTTAGGAATATAGGTGTTTTGAGGACAGTGAAAAGGAGTAGGATGATGGGCAGACAAACTCTGTTTTCTGGGAATTTTGTCACATTAAATAATGAGGAAAATGCTTGTCTAATGCTTTTCTCCATGTGCAACTGTTTTCAGTTCTTGGGATCTTCTGAGTCTGTTACTATCTGTTGACATCCCTCAGTGGCTCTTTCAGGTACTTTTCCTATCTCACCATGAGCCCATGTAAACATTTTGCATTTACAACACCCTTTTGCAGGGTGTGCAGCAGGTGTCTGCTCTGCTGTGAGAAAAAACACCTCTTGCTTGCTTGCTCCCACTAGCTGTATCTGATGGCCCTTGTTCCTCTGCTGGAAAAGTGAACGGTTGCTGACCATTCTCTCCCTGCCTCTCAGGATGTCATAGACCTTTCCTGTGCCAGCCCACGCGCCATGTCTTTCCCCAGTTGAGGAGTCACAGTTTATGCAGATGGTCCTTTGTGGCAGCCACTCAACCTCTGAGCTTCCTTGCTGGATTTCTCTGAACCACTTTCAGTTCAGCTCTACCTGGAGGTATGAGACTGCACCCAGGATTAAGGTCCCGGCTGAGCACGACATAGGCAGTGACATAATGATTTTCTTCCTTTTATTCTTTCTTGCTTTCCTAGTTATTCATAACATGTAATTTCCCCTTTTTCCCAGCCTTTTCCCAGGCAATGTTTTCATCGCCCCAACCAACAACCAAGGAGTTTTCCCTGACTCCAAGGGAAATGGGCAGCTCAGACCCTCTTCTTTTTCTTGTACACGAAGCCGAGACTGTTTTCTGCCTCAGTATAACCTTTCTTCGTAATCCTTTTTTTTTTAACTTTTAAGTTTGCAGAAAGAAAGTTTTTTTCCCCCTTTAATTAAAGATAAAGAACTTGACTAGTATTAGTCAGAGGACAGAGCTCTGTGAGATATTTCCAGACCTCCCCTGAAAATATCTTGTTTCCACACAAGAACTTACCAATGTGTGATTTTTGATCCATTTAAGAAGGTCTACATTAATGCTCAGTCCTATTAATACACTTAACAGTGTGTCATGCAGGATGAACTTATATGTCTTAAGTCTGAATATTCCAAACTGTTATGGTCAAAAACCACATTAACAGTCTAATTAAAATAATAATTTTCCTAGACCTACTTGATACAAAACTGTGGAGACTGACAGTATTTTTGCTGCTGCCTTCCATTCCCTACCAATTTGAATCAGTAGAGAATAGGGGGGTTGACCAAAACTGTCAGTACTATGGAAAGTGTGTTCAATTGCACTGCTTTCCTTGCCTAGTATCGGAGTAGCTGTACCACGTTTGTACAGCTGATAGTTAGACCTGAGTCCATACTTTTGTTTTTTTGGTGCTGTTCAAATCCTGAAGCTAGCACACCAGCTTTTGAGTTCCTTCTGCTGTTACTCTCCCCTTCTCTTGAGGATTACTGTTGTTTAACAGATCTCCAGCTGGGAAATCTTGCACAGGCGTCTTCCTGACAGTGCAAAGGATCCTATTCAGAAGCACCAGTAAATCTAACCGTAAATGTAATCCTGATCTGAGCTTCTGAACTTCTGCCGTGTGCTTGGTGTTAACATCTTCAAAAGTGTAACTTCTCTCCTGCGTAGAAGCAAGTTGAAATTGTTTTTTTCAGAAAGTAGAATAAGAAGTAAGAGGAGACTTGGGGCTAACACACATGCAAACCAGAACCAGCACTACATAAGGTGCAATGTTATTTCTGTTTGGTGATGTTAGCTTTAATTGTGTATACCTCACTCTGTATGTCTTTTTAATTTGTTTGAGTAGCTACCCTAGGACAGATGTGACCCAGAAGAAGACTTATTTTTCAGGGATTATTCATTCAGCTGAATGTGAGAGGAATATAGGTAGAAGGCAGGGAATGGCCTTGCCCAGAGGAGTTCGTCACATTTCTCACATCCGCAAGTCCTGATTCTTTGGCGTGGCAGAAGACCTTCCATTAAGACAGAGAAGATCAGAGGTTCTTGTTTAGGCTAGGAAAAAAGGTTGAAATTACATTCAAGTTTGCTAACAACAGCTAAATACAGCAGCCTAAATTCAGTTACATTCCTAATCAGGAGAATGCTAATGATTAGCCACCAAAACAATTGTCGGGGTTTTTTTTTGGTTTTTTTTTTCGTTTTTAAATACTGTACGAGAGGGTAAGCCTCATGAAAGCCCCCCTTAAGAGTTTACTGAATGTCAGGTTTTATTAGTAATCACATTTCATGATTCTGAGTTGATTCTGATTGACAATATTGTATGTGTATGTGTTTTAATGCAGATATGTGTATTGACTAAAAGGAATCAAAGTTTTGAAGTAGGTAGCATATGAATCTCATGCTTTTAAGAGATGCAAGTGCATTATCTCATCATAGGGTAACATCTCCTGAAATAGATTCAAATCATATTTCACTTGTGTTTGACATTCTAAATGTCCTGAGGGTTTTTCGTAAAATATCAAGCCCCTAACATCTCAGATTTTCTCAGAAGAATGCATTACCCAAATCTCATGCGACCCCAGATTTATTTCTTAAATATCCTTATATCATGGTAATCTTTATTACCCAAGAACATCTGATGTTCTCCTGACAATCTGTTTTTTTTGCAAAGTCCGTGTTTGACATTTCACTTGTTAAAACACAAGTTCACCTTCCTGTCTTTATGCAATATTCATATGCCTGAAGGAACTAGAAATACTGGAAATGCTAAAAAACTGAAACAGGGGAGGGGGGTTGTCTATTTGTAAGAAAAAAGTTATGTTGTCCATTTTGTTTTGTTTCTGCCTGCATGAATGTTAAATCCAGGTGAGATGATTTTGCTTCTCTTGTTTGCATGGATGTTTTTCTGTTCTTTGCATGTAACCTTTGGTCTCGTTCTTTTGATATTGGTTCCATATTTATACATTGTTCTGCACAGTTATTAAATCAACTTTTCGTTCCTTTTGATTTTTCAAAATGCCCAGGGCCTGAAGGAAATGTAATTTGGAAATTGAGGGAGGGTGTTTTTCTGTCTTTAGATAACTGAAGAGAAAGGTCCGGCTCTGCTGGGTTAATGCAATTTTTATTCATCCATATTGACTTTTCCAGTATACCTAACAGGAAGACTCAGGAATTGATGGTTTGACCCCTATTGTATCAATAACAGGCTGCTACTGTGCTTTGCCTCTTGGCTGGTTCCTGAGTAAGGAGATGCTGTGCTCTTCTCAGCTGACCTTCTGACCTTTGGAGGCTGAGCACTTTATTACTAGAGATACTTCTGCAACATAGACTTTGTTCATGTTTTGTCTTAGTTTTCATCATTAATGGACGTTTTAGTGTGTGTACATTCATTGTTCATCTCAAGTCATTGAAATTGTTCTCTCTAGGAGAATTCACACAGCTGATATAATGCCTTTGTTCCATCTATAATGGTTAACTACCTTTTAGGTAGTGTGTAAATATACTGCTTGCGCTTCTTGGACAGGTGCTCTGTCTGTCCTTTGCATTCTGTGTTCCCAGAGAATTCAAGCTGAAACTTTGTGAATTTGCTTTTGAAGCAAGCAGTGATGCTGATTTTCATCCCAAGTTACGGGAAGCATTGAAAACTGGTCGCTTTTAGCCTGCGCTATGATGCTCCATCTTCAGTGTCAGAGAAGACCCCCTACTCCTGAATGCACCAGCTGCAAATGGTATTGTCTTGTTCCTCAGCTCATCTGTGGTCTGGTCGCACTGAGAAATCCCAGGTCATTAGGAAGAGCGAAGGAGGTCGTAAGGAGGACTGAACAAGCAGACTTTTTGGCACTGAAACTAGTAGTACTGTCTCTCCAGCAACAAGGAAAAACCAGAGTCAAACATTACTGATATTTTCAGTCTTCCGTTCCAAGCAGCACAGCCTCAAGCCCTCCTTATTCATTTGGTACTAGCTGAGATTGGGCTTGCTTCACTGTTGTCTGCTCCACAGGCTTTGAATCTTAAACTGGGATTTTACGTTAAGTTTATGCAGGGTGCTGCAGGTTTTGGTGAAGTTCTCTCTTTCACTTGTGCCTCTGTAAGGACACTCTCCAGTACCAGCTGTGCCTGTTTGTGATTCTGAATATCGTATTTTCTTCGCAGCAGTTCGCACCTTCTCTCTTTCCTTCCTGCCTCAGAGAAAAGAGGAATGATTAAATGATTTAGCTTTTTAACCTCCTGAGGTTTGAGGTTCAGAAGCTGCTCCTATTTCTGTCCTTGCAGCAGCCATCTCCTGCTTCAGCTGTGGAGGTTGACAACAAGTTTCCAACATGTGGGAGAGTCCTTAGTGATAGGTTTGTCAGAAGAGAGATGATAGTCATATTACTTCCTTCTTCCTTGCCACATTTCTTCTAGTCAAGAGGAAGCTGAGGCTTCTCATTCATCCTTTAGTTTATCTTTGGACCATTCTGTTGCTGAGGTGCCATCATCACTATTTTTTAGGGAAGACATTGCCCATTGTGCTTTATTGACAGCCAGAGAGCTTTTCAAGATGCCTTAAAATGTATCGTTAGATTCCTTCGATTCCCTAGGAAAGAAGCTGATGCTGATGAAAACATTTAGGACATTCTCTGTCCTAAAGACATGCTCTCAATGACTGTGATTTCTGTGGGTGAAGCAGTTCTATATGTGGTCTGAATTTTGCAGTTTTCTTACACCCTACATGGTCAACTGGAGGAACAAAGTTTTCTTTGCAGGCACTATTTTTGTGATTACCTTTTGTTTTCCTCCTCATTTGTGATGATGATTGTGGAAGGAAGAAACCCAAGTAAGCTGCTTCTTGAGATGATGATGGTTTTGGAAAAGGAGCTGTCTACTCGGAGTCACCAAGCTTTGCTTAGAAATGTGCAAAGCTTTGTTAGCTGTCCAAGAGCACAAATTCACTGATCAGTTGTACATCTTCATTAATGTTCTGCCTATGTAATTAAAGGAGGGCTTATTCCCTTTTCTACTGGATACTTGTTTGACAGCCAGAACCTAGTTGAAGGCATCCTTGGACTCTATGGATGACCCCTAATAACCTCTCTTATTTTACATACTTTTTAATGTTTTGAGTGCTGAATTGGCAAAAGGACGTACAGTCTTTGACTGAAGACCAGTAGTCATTTTTTAGGTCCCTTGGCATCTTCTCATTGGCAACCAAGAGCAAGTGACACTAATTCTTTTTTCTGCCGACTGCAGCCTCTTTCTCTGTTCCTTTCCTGGAGTTCTACTAGTTGTGGGGCTGCTAGTATTGCACAGGCCTCGTACTGATACCAGTTCCTCATCTGAGCTATTGTCTTGCCCATCAACATTCTTGAAAAAAAACAATGTGGGACTCAATCTCCATCAGTCAAGAACACCATCCTCTGGCTGATCGCCTGTATGGTATTCCTTCCATAGAGTGTGTTTGTGTGAGTTCATTCTAACTTCTGTCCCAAAGTAGTATCTGCTGGGGAATTAACTGTTTTCATCCCTAAACTGAATACTGGAGACTGAGATTCTTGTTTCATCCTCAATGTTGCTGAGGACTTTTCTTGTTACGCTGGTAAACTGCTTTCAGAGTTTGGTTGTCTTGATGCTGAAAAACGCAAGGTCTCACCCATTTCTGTGCAGATGGACAAACTGTTTTCTTACATCAATTGGAGGCCACAAATGTGACATTTCCATTTGTCACTGGACTATAGTCTGTCGGAGCTCAAGTCGTACTGGTTATGTGAATGACTAATGTTTGTCGAGCAGCTATCTAGAAGCTCTCCATATGTTCCATACCTTCTCCATACCAAAAAATGTGCTGTTGTAGAAGCACCACCAGGCATGTAGTATTTGGCAAAGTGGATTGAAATTGCTTTGTGAAGGATTCAAAGGCCCACCTCTGAGGAGGTATAAGTCTGTGACACTTATTAGTTAGTCATGCACCGTGTTGAACAGTTTTTGAAACAAACAAAAAAGGAGGTCATTTAACCTCCTATGAGAGGCTATCCAAACATACATTTCCCCTGCTCACCATCCTTCCACGTATTCGCTTTTGTTGGGATCTTGCAACAGAATGAACAGAAACAACCTCATGGTTTGATACCTTCCCCGTGCATCAGGTGTGATGAAAGAAGCACAGGACTGATTAAGATCAAAAACTTGTTACCCAGCTTTGAGTGCTAATGTAAACCTTGAGTGCACTTCTAGATAGCTTTGGTTGCTCCCAAACTGACCTTTCTGTTACCTTAAGACTGAAAAAGAATCTAAATATGACCAGCATTGTTATCTAGCATGCTGCTTTAGAGCTCACTTAACATACATGGACATCCCACTATACTATATTTTTTCATTTAGTGATTAATTCCTGCATTTTTGTTTCTCTGTTACGCTTGAAATGATGGTTTGTCCATACATATCAGTTCTTTGGTTAGCTTGGGAGTCATTTTACATGGTCTAGAAAGCATAGCAACAGAGCTGTTACTCTTCCCCTTTTTGGTATGAATTTTAAATGCTGCTCTGTCTGAATCTCTGTATCTTTTCATTTCAAGGATCTGAATGTTTCTCTTTTCTCTCCTACTCTGCTCATTTTTGCAGTGCACGCTGTTGAGAGTAAGTGTTCCTCTATTTTTCCCCCTCTCTCCCTCCCCAAAAAAACCCTGTTCGCTACAGAACCAATGTAATTTCTGTTATTTGCTGTGCCCATAAATCTCCTTTGGGAGGAGCTGTTGATCTAGGCTGAGATTTGTGAAGATTTCCTGAAAGCTAAAAGGAGAGCCATCCCAGGTCATTCTTTTGTGGTCACCGGATGGAAAAGGCCATCCATCTTTTTCTCAAACAATTTTAATATATCAGTGTTGGAAATAATGTGTTGGCAGATTATTAGTTGCCCTGTGCAGATAATGTAATTGAGGGGGACATGGTGACACGTTGGAGAGACTTCTGCTTTTTGAAGTCAGATGGGATAATTCTCATTTAATCTCATTTGTACAACACGCCAGAGAATTTCTCCTGGGAGTTAATACACCAAGCCTGATAATCTTGAAATACTCAGTAGGAGATTTTCAAAGTGTTTGTAAACCGTTGGATTTTTTTAAGGGTAATCACAGAGTCATAGAATGGTTAGAGTTGGAAGGGACCTTAAAGATCATCTAGTTCCAACCTGGGCAGGGACACCTTCCACTAGGTGGTGGTAATCACGGTGGTTACAGGTTGAGATGTGGTGTTTCGACTCAGTAACATCTGGTAGAAAGCTCAGACTCTTGGCTTGGCTCACTCCCTCCCCTAGCCACAACACTTTGTGTGTTGCTCCCTGCCTTAGTTCCCTCTTCACAATGCATCCTTATGCCACTCATCATCTTCCTGCCACTGTGCTCCTGTGAGATATTTTCCTCCAGCAAATTCATCCCCAGTTTGAAAATTGGTGTCCTATCTCACCTTGGAGCAACATGTTTGGGTAGCTGTGTCCTGGGTTTCTTGCAGTGTTAATGTGTTTATTGACAGTCCTGAGTGGCTGTAATTGCTGTTAACTCTGTTTTACGGGTAACGAACTGAATTTCAAAGTCTAAGGAGGCTTTGTGGTTGTTCAGGTCAGAAATGCAAGATGGGGAGAATTCTTCAGACAGACAGCAGTTCTTAAAACTTTGTTACTAAAACAGCAAAAAAAAGTTGGTTATATAAAAACAGACTCACTCCTTGGCAAATTAAGATGTTTTACAGGTCTGTTTTACCTAGCTAGACACTTAGCTGCAGTTACAGAAAGGAAGGAATATGTTTGTGTTTCTTCAGAAATAAGAGTCTGGTCCTAGCTGACAGTCTCTTAAAATGTACTGTTTCCTTGCTCTGTTTCTTCTCGAAGCAGGCTAAATAGCCTGTTGGTTTATGTTAAGCAAACTATGGCTAGCTAAACATTTATCTGCAACCTAGAGCATATACACATCTGCTTAGCATAATCGTCGGTGATCAGAGATAGATATACCTGTTGTCTGGTGGAATACTGTTTTAGAAACTGAATGTATAAATCATGCTTTTTCACAGAGTTTTAAATAATTGATCGCAGAGGAGTTTTATGAAAACTAATCAATTGACATTTTATCTGTGGAAGGCATAGCCAAGCACTGTGGGGAAATTTTGGTTTGGGTAGCCGTAACTGTTAAAATTGGTCACGCACGATGTAGATCTAGTATAACAGGTTAGTTAATGACTGGTCTTTCAAGTGCTGCCCTTGGATTTCTGTGGTACTGCACTATAGCTGTAAGATTTGTCAGCCTGACTCGTACTCCCACATCACACAATAACAAATGTGACTACCCAACCGTTAAAGCTGATAAACATCATGATCCTGCGAAGTGTTCTAGGGGCATAGCCTTCCCTCTCCCTTCCTGTGCATCGCTGTGCTGCACCAGCACAAGCATTTGTGCGGCTGTGTGATTAACCTTCCTTTGGAGCTGCCCTGGCTGGAAGAATAGCCACACATAAAGCCATAATTACATTTCAGTCTATTATGTTCTCGGGTGTGGCTCATGACCAAATGGAGGGTGGGACAGGAATGAACCATCAACAGAAAGATGGGGAGACAAAGACTGTTTTCTTCCTTTGGCAGTAGGTCCAGTTTAAATGCAGATCTAACAGAGCCATGATCTCCGTAGAACTTTATTTGTTGCTGGAAGGTTAGCTTGCTGGTATTTGTACACAAGGCAGCAGGACTTGACACTTCACTTTTGGTTTAAGTGCAAATAATACTGCAGCATGAAACAGGGTGTTGCTGGTAACCGTTAAGAAAAACAGCATAGCATAATCCCAAGGCCACTTCTCCCTTCTTTCCTCTTCCCACCTACCATTTCATATCTATTTCCAAATTCTTAGTAGGAATTTCTTTTTAAAAGCCAAATGAGTTCTTTGATTCAAGTTGCCAGCACAGGCACACAAACCACTGCTGGTGGCAGTGACAAGTCTGCACACTCGTGAGGCAGCTCTGAGCTCTTTGTAATGCGGAACCATTGCCTTAATTCCAATGACTGCAGCCTTCATTTGTGAACATTGAACATTTCAACTGTGAAATGCAAGGGCCTCTCCTTAGATCAGAGCATTAGGAGGAGTATAGTTTAGGCTTGGCATTTATTTTTTTAACTGCTCATTCTCTGTTTTGAATGTTTGGGTTTAGTAAGGGTTTTCTATGAATACAAGTAAAGCTTCTGGTGTTTTATTGAAAGATGTTAATAGGAAAAATATGAGTTTGCGGCACACTCATGTTAAGTAAATTTTTTGAAGGAAAGGCTAGTTACAATCAGTTCTTTAGCATTGCAGCCTGACTTGGGCTAGGCTATATATCAGAAACCCTTCAAGGGAGTAGAATTCCTAATCTTTGTTAGTCATATAGCAGGACTTGGTGATCTGACTCCATCAGCTCCTAAAATAATAGCCCAGGATTTTTGAAGTGCATTTTTCTTTGCTAAGGTCAAAGGTGAGATCTGGCTTCCTGAGCATATTAATTTACCAGTTAAAATGTGCCACAGCCTCTGGCTACTTTAAGATGATTGTGTGATTTTTTTTGTATAAACCTGGTAGGAGCATTACTGAAATTGAATTGCAAGTTATATTTTCATCCTGAGACTGATGCTTCTGGCATTGCGTAAAGTCATTTAAGTAGCCAACCAAAAGATATCCAGTGCCTTCCATTGCCCGTATCTTTGCCAAATCCCTTCTGGGGGTGTGTGGTGCTGCTGGCGGCGTCATACTGCTGTAAGCAGGAAGGGCAGAGAGAGGGCACGCCAAATTCCCCAAATCCCAGCACTGGTGACAGTCGCCTTGGCCCCACCAGTGGTTTGCAAATAACCTGCTCCGGCCATCCCCACAAAGGCTTTTCCTTTCCCTGTGCGTTCTCTGGGCAGGGGTAGCAAGGCTGATGGGCAGAGCGCTGAGTTGCTAAGATGTTGATGATTTCTTTAGGACACTTGCATGTGATATTAAGGCACGTTCTGTGCTCAGTTGTTAGTTTAGATCTGTTGTGCCTCTGTGTTTTACAGTAGTTAGAGGAGTTATGTGTATTGGGTGGTGACTGAGACACCAGTGAAGTTTTTCTTGCTTTCCCCTGGGATTTTTTTTTTGCCCTAGATTAAAAATACATTCAGGTGAGGACTGAAATACTTAATCTGAATTAACCCCAAATTAAAGTTACTTTCCTTCACTCTAGCAGTGTCTAGTCTATGTCAGGAGGGGAGTTGCAGCAGTTTTATCTGTCACATGCCCTACTGCAAGCCAGAGAGAAACACAGGTGATTTTCTTGCCATTTTAGATTGCAATCGAAATGAGAGGAGCTCCCTTATAAGATGGAATAAGTTTAAATAGAAATGCTTGTTATCACAGTCTGAACTATATTGTTAAGCTATTTTTCTATTACAGTTCATGATCTACAGAGCTTCGGCCTCGATAATGTAAGTGTTCCCAAGATAGTGTTCTAGTTCTCCTTGTCTATTTTCCTCCTGCATTTCCCTGCTTTTGCCACGTTGAGATCCTAGTGTACTGACACCGTCTGGATTTGACTATATAAGCCTGAGCAGAACCTGGGACAGGGCTCTGAAGTATGTTCTGGGACATCTGCATGTTGCTTGGCAAGCCTGTTCCCCTCTGCCTGAGACTGCCTTGCTCCTGAATCTGCGCTTCCCAGTTTTCTAAGGTTGACATTTTCACAACTGTTTCTGGGTCTGTTGGGGTTTACCTTGTGCTAGGAGGAAAGCAGATGATACCCATACCTGTGCCACCAAGGCAGCTGACAGCATGGTGTTCCTATGGCAGGGAGATGAATGGGTGGGAGAGCCTGCTCTGTAGATGGGAGGGAAGGGCACCGGGATCTGGGGATTTCCAGCAGGAAAAAGAGAGATTCCACATCTTGGAATGTCCCATGAATAAAAAAGAAGAGCAAGTGCTTTGGAGTTCACTGTTAGGACATGCAGAGTACGGGAGGACCTGTCTTTGTTCTAGAGCCGCACTCAGAAAAATATACAAATAATTAACTTTCAACCCCTTACCTTGCCTCTTGGATGCTGTGCAGTTGTTTGAGTTATTAACATTTATGTTTCAGATCAATATGACGCACTATATCAAACATCTCTCATTTGGAAGGGATTATCCAGGCATTGTGAACCCTCTGGATGGGACGGACGTCACTGCACAGCAAGGTAAAAGCCAACTGAGAGAAATCTCTTTTTAAGTGTCTGTATTAATAAGTGTTAGAAGAGAACAGGAGTGAAGTTCCCAGTCTTTAACAAGAACCCTGACAACACTGCATGAAACGTAGACTCCTCCACCTTGTGCTCTTTCTGGAACAGCTGCCTCCATCCATCTGGAACAAATCTGCCAATGTGTTTTGATTCTGTGACCTTTCTGAAAGATCTCTCTTTTTGTGTTCATGGATGCACAACAGCAACTATAGCACATCATTATAAAATGCCTGCATCAGATGTAGTTCAGGGAGAGCCCTGTCTAGCCGCTGCATGCAGTAGGAGATAACCAGAAGACACAGGATAGGGAAAAAAAGCCTAACTGATTGTTGCTGGAGAACCATCGTGACTGCCTGACTTTGATCTACCCAACAGTAATGGCTGAACAGCTGCAGTGAAGTTGAAATGTTGCTGATCTTTTCGAGATAGCTCCAGCTGGCTGGCTTGAGAAGGAAGGGCAGTTGTCTCCTCGTGCTGCTGCTGCTGCTCAAACTATAATCTTGGTTTATTCACATAAGACTGCTTGTGTGCATTTTCCTTGAAAGATCCTGACTGTACCACTTTATATGCCACTGCAGACATTAGTTGGCTTTTTTTCCCAGATCCACTGAAGTCTGCAAAGTTTGTCTTTGCAGGTACTTGGGGTGCCGTTATATAACACAGCTTGAAGAAAGAATCCGTTTGCTTTGAGGTGGTGGTAGGATTGTTAATCATACTTGAACGTGTTCTTTTAAATTTTCCGCCATTGATGGTAATTCTTGTACCCAAATCAAAGGAAGTTGCTTAAAATAAAATACAGAAAAAGGAAAAGGTGTCATAATGCTCGATATGATTGTGATGCTGTAGTTTTTCTGTGGAGTAACAAACTCTGAGAGGTGGCCTATAACTGGCTGCTAACACACACATTGCTGGCTCATGTTGAGCTTCTCATCCACCAGCACCCCCAAGGCGTCTCCTCAACACTCCTATCAATGCATCTTCCATCCAGCCTGTATTTGAGCTTGGGATTGCCCTGACCCATGTGCAGGACCTTATACTTAGCCTAGTTGAACTTCATGAGGTTTGTATGGGCCCACCTGTCATGCCTTTCAAGGTTGCTCTGGACTGCATCCCTTCCTTCCAGCATGTTGACTGCTCCACACAGGTTGGTGTTGTCGCCAAACTCACTGAGGGCCCACTCAATCTAACTGTCCATGTCACCAACAAAGATGTTGAACAGCACTGATCCCAGTACCAACCCCTGAGGAACACCACTCGTCACTGCTCGCCACTTGGACATTGAGCAGTTCACCACAACTCTTTGAGTGTGATCTTCCAGCCAGTTCTTTGTTCACCGAGTGGTCCCTTGGGTCAAGTCCACATTTCTCCAATTTAGGTACAAGGATGTCATGTGGAACAGTGTCAAATGCCTTGCACAAGTCCAGGCAGATGGTGGCAGTTGCTCTGCCCTTGTAAACCCATCATAGAAGGCCACCAAATGTGTCAGGGATGATTTGCCCTTAATGAACCCATGTTGGCTATCACAAATCACCTCCTTATTTTCCATGTGCCTTAGCTGGGTTTCCAGGAGGGTCTGCTAATGATCTTGCCAGACACAGAGGTGAGACTGATCGGCCTGTAGTTCCCTGGGTCTTCTTTTTTCCCTTATTACAAAAGGGGGTTATGTTTCCCTTTTGTCATTCAGTGGGAACTTCACCAGACTGCCATGACTTCTCAAATATCATGCATAGTGGCTTGGCAATTTCATCTGCCAGTTCCCTCAGGACCAGTGGAGGAATCTCATCAGGTCACATGGACTTGTGCACCTTCAGGTTCCTCAGCTGGTCTTGAACCTGGTCTTCTCTTACAGTGGGCAGTTCCTCATTCTCCCACTCCCTGCCAGATCTTGATTTTCATCTGATACGAAACCATGCTTCTACAGGAATATACTATAGTGTTAATTGAAGTTGATATAGGATACTCATTTAGAGTTGAGTGTGTTTTCTTAGGGCTATGCTATTAAATGTAAAGGTTTTCATGTGCTATAATAAGTATTTTCAAGACGTTGTACTGCTAAAACTGTAGCAAGATAACTGGTTTGTAGGGCGTTTTCAATTTAGTCAAGGCCAAAATGGCAGTAGTTTTGGCTGGAACAGGAACAAGATTCAATTTGGCAAAAGGAAAACTCATGTCAGACGTTAACTTTACTGTCCTTGAAAACCTCCACTAGCTGTTGCATAGAAAGCTGTTCCTTGACAAGTTGAACAAAACCAATTTATGTCTACCTAACCTGTCAGTTAAGCTTTCCAGCTCTTTGCCAGTTATTAATTGTGTCTCTCTGTCTTTGCTTGTAGCTTCCATGATGTTTCAGTATTTTGTCAAGGTGGTCCCCACAGTGTATATGAAAGTAGATGGTGAAGTAAGTACCTTTTTTTTGCCCCTTTTACTTTGGCAAATGAAAGCATTCAGACTTTCTCCTCTTATTCTGACACTGACCATATCTGACCTCTGGTGAAAGCAACACAGTCTGTTCGACTTTCTTCATATAACCAACCCAGCAAGAATAACAGTTTCTATGGTGTATGGTTGTCTGTAATGTTGCAGCAGTGATGAAACAGATTTCAGCCTCCTCCGTTGCACCTAGCTCCAAGTGACCATGCCATTTGCATCATGTTCCCACATGAATCCCTCCTATTGCATGCTCAGGAGAAGTTAAAGCAGCAAGGAGATCCTAAAAATGTTCTTTGGAGAATAACTGAAGATCAGCTTATCTCCAATTTAAAAACTCCTTTAGCCTCTAAAAGAGCATGGCTAGATTTCCAGCCCTGCGTTTAGAATGTGTCATTCTTTCAGGACAGGTAGGATAAACAAATTACCGGGGAGATACCAGGGTAAGACGAAGATCCTGAGAACAGAGACAAATTTTTGCTGTCTTTTGAAGCCAGCCTGAGGGAGCAGAAAGAACTGTGATTTCTTTCATTCATTTGGAAGCTTTTATTTTGATTGCTGGCGTTTTGCAGGGGATCTCAAGAGCTGCAGAGAAAATCTTTTTTAAAAACAAAACGAACATATCAGTTATCATTATTTGGACCCCCGTAGTCTTGGGGCAGCAGAATGATGTAAGCTGTTACATTTCTTTTGCAAAGAAAACACCAGTAGAAGCAGCAGCTCTACTGTTGTGCAGACTTCACCACCAGTGCTACCCAGTGTACTTATCCGACCCAGTGAGGAAGAGACAGGTGCCACATGCCTCAGTACCCCTGTGAGCGTTCGTGTACAAGATGGCTTAGCTCCCTAGCTGTCTCCCAGGTTTTGGTTCTTTATCTTCTGCGCTGCATGGGTGGTCTATGCCAGCTTCACTTTAACACCAAACCAGTTCCCTCTGAGGTGAAACCTAAGTGTGGTTCTGGGGCTTGTTCAATGCAAGAACTGATCTACGTGCAGATGAAACTATGCCAGAATTTGACTGCCTTGCCCTTCACGGTTTTATAACACTGTGCAAACCCCACAACACTGGGAACCCTTACCACCTCACCTCAGGCTCTTCACCCAAACTCATGCCGCTCTTGGGCATGTACTGCATATCCTTGTAATGAGAACAACATACTACTGCACATCCACACAACCTTCATGTTGTTTTAGGCACTATGAAATGTAAATCACCGGCAGTTTATTAGTTACGCCAGGGGCTGCATACGAACCACAAATCTGAGGAGCCACACAGCCACAGTAGATACAATTCAAGCAAAGCTATCCTAGAGCAGTGTGGGCAGAGCAATCTTAACAGAATCCACTGGAAAGGTAAACATAGTTAGTATTTCTTCATCTGCCCTGAAGATTGAAACTGCTTGCAAGATAGTTCTTGTGATAAATCCTTATGTGGGCCATTCTTTCTTCAGTCCCCTGCCTAGAAAGGATGTATCTGTTTTTTCTTGAAAGCTGGGTGCAAGTTGCTTGCTATGAGGTGATACTGGGAGAATCTTCAGACAGTGTTAGAAGCTCATTCTGCTTGGATTCAGGATGCCTCTGTAGTTTCTGTGGAGGATTGAAATTCCTGAAGTACAAAAGATAGTTAATAGGAGCTCTATTCTTATGGCCACCTCCCAGTGCCATAAGCCACCATGGCTTCTGTTTCTCTTGATGAAATCTCATGTTCTACTGTAGAGCTGTTGTTCAGATTTCAAAGGACTTCTCTGTCAAAAGAACTGCTTTTTATTAGTCACCAGGAGAGGAATCCGTGCAAACCACGATGCTTATACTTAGAGCAACTATGGATCCTAGTACACTACCAGATGCATACCAGGAGCTGTGTTATACATTCAGTACTTGGAACCCCCAAGTGTGGAACTTGGTGAAGAAACTGGATAGTATCTTTCTCAGCTTGGATTGTAATTTGTGTCAGATAGCTTATTAGGGATGATAGAACATAATTTCATTTTACAGAAACCCAACTCCTTTGCTCTAAGAATAGAACTGGTGTGAACAACGTGTAGAAGAATGGCAGGGCACAGAAGAATGCTGCAGGGTGATCTTCATTCATAGAAAGATGGGCCATCTGTGTCCTTCTGCAGCCCTGGAACTCTCTTGCTTTTATGTATTATTTCCTTTTTTCTCACTCTTGAATATATATGGCTTTCTCACATCAGTGCTGTTTCCTTGAACCATGCTTAGGTGAACTACATTTTGGTGGAGGATGATGTGGACTTGGGGTTGAGGTCGAGAGGGACAGCTTATGCCATTGCTTGCCAACAGAGACCAAAACAGTCCAGCCTGGGGACTGATGCATCACTCATTCTTTAGACTAGCTGGGGCTTTTACTGCTAGCCTGTAGTAAAAATAGATCTGATCCTAATGGTGCTCTTTATGACCCTTTTTATGACTGTCAGGCCCCCCACAAGTGAGTGCACAGGACTACATTGATACGGTTCACTGAACCCCTGTTTTAGTAGCCTTTCCAATTCCTCACTAACAAGACAACATTTGCTGTGTTTGTTTCCTGCTAGGTGGTAAGGACCAACCAGTTTTCAGTTACACGACATGAGAAGATAGCCAACGGGCTACTAGGAGACCAGGGTCTGCCTGGTGTATTTGTGCTATATGAACTTTCACCCATGATGGTGAAGCTTACAGAGAAACACAGGTAAGAGACATTTCAGTCTATTTCGTTACCTCTCTGTTGATGTTGTCATTTTGCTAGCTTAAAACTCCATCCTTTCTTAGATACAACAGTGCAAATGCCTGAAAGCCATCCAAGCCCCTTCCCAGTCAGTGGAGAGGAAGAGGCCCAGCCAGATGCCCTTCCTCTCGGTGTGAACATCTGAAAGCGATTGTGGTTTTTCTGGTATTACCTGAAGTCTTTTAATCCAGTACCAAGATGGAGAAGGAAATTGGTGCAGTGAGCAGAAGTCTGATATAATGGTTCTCGGTTCAGACTAATGTCCTCAAAGTCTTTTTTTAATGGGAAAACTAGATTGATATAGCATGCCCATCTTGCCAGCACCTACAGCGGCACCCACACTGATCAAACCTGGTTACTTAATCTGCATTTCCTATAGCTTTTCTGCATGTTGTAGTCAGTGTTGAGCCTCTTTCTTCTTTTCAAGTCCTCCATTAATCACAGTCATTCTGCAGGGGACTGGAAGGGGTTGTAACTGTCTGCTATTTTAGGATCGTAATGAGGGACAGCCAATGTTTATACCTTAAAATGTATTAACATGTGCTTAGGGATTTAGTTTCTGTGTTACAGCAGCCTGCTGTGCATTCTCTCTGGGTAGGAATGGATAAAATCTTAGGGATTAAAAGTCCAATCCTTTAGGTTTAGAAATTCAGTACTTGCCTCCTAGGGTTGCCATTGAGCTCATTAGTGCACTGCTCTAATGCTATTCAATGCTGCTCGGTGACAAACTCCATTCTGTAACCAATAAGGGTTATTTAATTGTTAAATCTTGTCAGCTATTACTTTTTATATAATGCATACTTATGTGCTGTGATGAACATTATGATAATTATGAATTAGTTTTGATTAGTTAATTGTTACTTACCTGATGTTGGTATCTGAGCTCATGCTGGTTGTTCAAATTGTTTTCCTCATTCTAGGTCCTTTACACACTTTCTCACAGGAGTTTGTGCCATCATTGGAGGCATATTTACAGGTATTGTACCTTTCAATATTTTTTCTTTCTAAAGTGTAAACATTTGCCATCTTACTCTTTCTAAACTCTGCATGGCTGGTAATAAATCCCTGTTTGATGGGGAGAGATGCATTTAGTAGAGCATATAGCATGTTCTGTGGAGCCATGGGAGTGACATCAGATTGTAATTAGCAGTGTAGACTTTCAAGATGCTGTAGAAGTTGTAGACCTATTATAATATTTCATTTGATTATGATGTAGACCTATCATAATATTTCATTTTGATGCTTTACAGGACATTTTGTTTTCAAATAATGCAGTCTTTCACATACCATATGAATGCATCTGTACCATTTTCTTGGCCAGCTTGGGTCTGTAAGCAGGTAGTTGCTTCAATGTGGAACCAAAGGCAGTAAAATCTGTGCTACCAGGTTGCCATGGGCATAGCCATCTCAGAGGTCTCAAACTGTGTTCGCAGACATAGGAGCTCCAGTGAGAGCTCTGCAGGGACTCAAAGTAGCCCTCGCAGCTCGATGGGGTCCTGTAAAGAGAGGTTGTTCCTGCAGAGCTATTTGAGTGACTGGATTTCATTCTCAGTGCTGGCTTCTGTAATAGCTAGCCAGTATCTGCTCAGCTCCATGCATGTGACAGAGCACCGCCTTGGTCCAGCCTTGCACTCCAGCTAATAACCCAGAGTGCTCTGAAAGCAAGTCAGAGATGTTCACGTGTCTGTGAAGAGCCAGCCTGGAGATCTGGTCAGCAGATCTTACTGGACTTGAGAAGCCTGCTACTGTATCACGTAACACCTGTATCAGATACCTATATCACATAAACCTTTATCTGCAAGGTTTTCCCGTCACCTGAGGTGTCACAATGCTCAGTTAACCTGATACTGTTAAACAGTATTTCTGTCTGTAATAAATTTGATCATATGCATTTCTATGGCTGAGTCTCAGGGAAGGGTTTCAAAAATTATTTTCTTGACAAATGCAAGTGCCCTCTAATGCTGATGAGGTTTGATGGCCAGTCTATAGTGTTTGCTGCCATACGCCATGTTCAGACTCTATATTCATATCCTAGAATATATATGAATATCTCATATGAATAAATCAGCTATGTAACAGTTTTTGTGTTGGAGCATCAAATTGATTCTACAAGTTGAGATAAATGCAGGACAAAACAACCACAAAAGACAGTCATCTGAAGTGTTACTCAGAGACCACATAGTAAGGCATATTCTGCAGTAATAAACAGGAAACTCAGTTCCCGTGTTAGCTGCTACTCTTTATATAGTATTGAAATGTCTGTCTTTGTGTAGGGCGAAGTAGTCGCTTAATTATTTCTTAGATTGAGGTGTTGAATAAAAGAAAAAAGAACATGAAGCTTCATAAAGGACAAGAGGGAATGGCTTTAAACTGGAAGACAGACTTAGATTAGATATTGGGAAGAAATTTCTCCCTCTGAGGGGGGTGAGACAGTGGCTCCGGTTGCCCAGAGAAGCTGTGGCTGCCCCATCCCTGGAGGTGTTCAAGGCCGGGTTGGGGCTTGGAGCAGCCTGGTCTAGTGGGAGGTGTCCCTGCCCAGGGCAGGGGGGTGGGACTAGGTGATCTTCAAGGTCCTTTCCAACCTAAACTGTTCTATGATTCTATGATAAAGACATTGAAAATACCTTTGCTTACTGGCACCCTCTGTTCCCTCCCTGGCAGGAGCTCAGGGTTCCTGTTCTGTGAAAGCCACCTCGAAGGATGCAGGGTTTTCTGAGTTTTGTGGTGCAATAGACCCATTCTGAGCTTTTCTGTGGGCCCAAACAAGCACTGAATTAAGAGGCTTCTTCAGCGCTGGAGAGATTTGGGAAAAATACTGCAGAAAGAACTGAATGCTTGTGTCCTTGGTGGGTAAACATTGCAGCATTGGGTAGAGTAGCTTACTTTTAAGGTTACCATGAAGTGAGAAAGAAATGGGAAATGTGCCCTTGGCAAGCTGGGTCAGGGCAATGACGCAACATAAGGCTCTCAGCATCAGCTTCCTCTCCAAACTCTTCCCACTCATCAGTGACTCGGCCTGTTGCATTTTTACTTCCATAACAGAGATCTTTTTCTGGAGAAGTATGATCATGTCTGCCTGCAAGCTGGATCTTGTCTATCTTAATGTCATGAGAACCTTATTCTTCAGAGCAGCAGCAGCTGTTTTCTGACTGGGGGAGCTGGAAGTCCTTTCCACTGACAGAGAGGGGCTTGTGTTTTCTTTCCCTGTGAATCGTCTCCCTTTGAGGTATGTCCGGCTTGATCCACCTGTTTTTTCCTTTTAGTTGCAGGATTCATTGACTCCTTGATCTATCACTCAGCACGTGCCATCCAGAAGAAAATTGAACTTGGGAAGACAACATAAATAAGCAATGATCTCACCCCACAAGCAAAACCTCTAAGGAGAACTAAGCAGGTTTTTTGAAACACAAGTGATCTTCTGAGTGCACAAGAGAAGAGGTTTGGAATTACCAGATGGCCCTGATCGCTCTTATGTTACTGTCCCATTATCCTTTGTTTGGCATTAATTTGTGGATGGAACTGCTTGAACCTTGCTGCTATAAAGATTAGCCATCTTGTCTGGCTGTGCAGACCCTACTGTAAAAACCCTTTCGTGTCAGTCCGTGTTCATCCAGTTCCTCCCTCCTGCCCTGAAGAGATGCTGGAGATACTGCATTCTGTTTGCCTCCAGGAATAATTTACTGTATTGTCACGAGACTTGGAACAGATTGAAGTTGCCGTCAAATAAGCTTTCTAGCAACACCATCTAGCTTTTTTAAATTTTCTTAAAATTGTTCCTGAGTATGCTGATGCTGTATGCCAGACCTCTGTGAAAATGTGCTGAATCCCGTGCGCTTTCCTTCCAGCTGTCCTGGGCAGCGTGGTGAGACCTAGCACCTGGGATGTGCTTACTGTCCTGTGGGGCATTGCAGCTGCTCCAGATTGATCTTCTTATGAAAGATGCACGTTGGTGTTTAAGCAAAAAAACTGTTTGGAGTTTTAATTGATTTTGTAAATTAGATTGTGTTTTTCATTTCCCTTCTGTTTATGTTTTAAAATAAAGTCCATCCTCTGTGTTTTGCTGAAGCATTTTGAAGAATAAGTAAATTCTTTGAAATAATCCTGGTACTGAATTGGAAATTATAATTAAAAAACACACCTGCATTGCAGGTAGTAGATATGTACATATGTAGATATGCAGTATGTAGATAGCATGATGATGATGTGTTGTTTTTTTCTTTTTAATTATCCATACAAGTGAGTTAAGTGCTTGGTATGTGAAATTGTAGTGGGAGAAATTGGAAAATAATGAGGAAAAATAAAATATTGTGGATTCCTGCCTCATTTTTAGGCAAAGCACATTCATTACTCTTAAATTTCAGCTCTGGATTTGCTTTGGTATTGACTCTAAATTTGGTCTAAGCAATTGGTCCAACAGAGTACAGTGAATGTGACAGGCACAGGATCAGATAATGCAGAGAGAAAGCTATTTTATAATTAATTTTAAAGTAGGTTTTGTTTGTGGTTGTTATTGGTTTTTGTTTTGTTTTTAATTAGTTGAACTTGTCTATAAACCAGGGAGTATAAAACCCATGTGTTTTCAATTGGGGAGAGAAGCAGTTTGAGGTGTGGGTAAGGAGACTGATTAATCTCCAAGCTAGAATACTGGGAAAAAAATGGGTTTTTAAAAAAAAAAAATCCAGCAGGTC